CGTTACCCCCCTGATCTAAGGACACCCTCATTTAAAATTAAGTGGTCCACCTCAGCAGAGAAAAGGCTGTAACTGATCCAACCCCCGCTGCAGAAGAATTTAAATTGCCGTCTTTGATTTAGCGATACCAGACATTTTGGCTTTGAATTACAGATCTTGGCTTCTGATAAAATTTATGAAATACCGTGCCAGCCAAAATTAGCATTTATCATTTCCTAAAAACTGTAAACAAACCCAGCGGCGACAAACGATTTTTTCTTCGCCCAATGTCGTCATTACTGTGCAATATTTACTGTTTATCGTCAGAAGAAGACAATTTCGTCTTTGTTGCCAAATAAACTATGACGTCACATGGAGGTAATTATTGCTAGTTTTACCCAGTTTTTTTAAAAACAATACTATGAAAATTAATTGTATATGCATTGTGATGTACTTGAGTTCAATTTCACCATTATGGACATTATTTCGTAACAACTCTTACTTCAATGCCTTTATGGCATCGTAGTTGAGTTTTACGCGATCGTTATTTTGAGGCAAAATACCACATTTTTGGCTTGCATACTTGGCACGTAAATTATCGTCTAGATCTAGAGACTCTAGATTGTTTACTTCTCTCTGTATGCGTGTGGCGGGTAAACAATAGGATAATGCGAGAAAGTCTTTGATTTAACGAGATCGCTTGACGTAGGCTACATGAGTTATTTTGATTCAATTCAGCTGCCGGTGAAGACTTACGTTTGGAAAGTTCCGACGGTCGGAAAATGACTGGCCATGCTAAAAAACCTTATGTTGAATTGCCCCTCTACTGTTTTCCCGACCGTTGACTCGAACTTTTGTGCTTGGCCATAACTTGGGTAAGAGCTCAGTTTCCTTTCATTTCAGAACGAGTGCTTGTGACTTTTCGTTGAGCAAATTTCCATACAAGCGGAAACTGCTTCAAGTCTCGTGCCATCTGAAATTTACTCATTCGTAATGCACCACTATAAATCGATATACTTTCAGTAGCTTTTGCATTTCAGCAATCGCCCGTAACTTAGCTTTGCTTCAATTATCATTATTTTTAAAGCAACCAGTTATATTTCAATATCTGGGTAACTGTCTCTGATGATGATGACCGTATCGTTCTTCCCAATCCCTAAAAGAATTGCTTATGTTATTGTATGTTTTTATTATTGCAGTGCCAGCAAAGAAAATTGTTCTCTCTGTCAATTATATTTCAATGTATTCCTTGAATCGTAGATGAATTAAATTACGGTCACTATTTTGGGGGAAAATGTCGCATTTTTGTCTTGCCTACTTGGCACATAAATTGCCGTCGGGGTTGTTTACCTCTCGCTGTATGCGTGCGGCGGGTAAACAAAAGGATAATCCAAAACAAGAAGTCTCTGATATAACGAGATCGCTAACGCACATGAGTTATTTTTATTTAATTCAGCTACCAGTGAACTAGGTTTGGCATGTTTTCATCGGTATTGGAGTTTCATTTTAAAACGAGTTCTTCAAAGTCAGAATTCTAAAATTATGTCTTCGAAACCGCCATAATTTATAAATTTCTCATGAAAATTCAAAAAGCATGACGTTGACCACGCATCCTTAACAGACACTTGAATGAGGGGTTTGCATGCATCGACGTTTTCGTGGTCGAAACTTAGGAATTTCGAAACCTGGAATTTGGAAGCCGTAGTCAAAAGTTTTTATCAAGCCCTGCGTTGGTTTGTACGTTCGAATCCCGTGTTTTTTTTTGGCGTGTTCTGGACTTTTCGCCTCCGTGGGGTGATTCACGTAACCGCTGGACGGTTACGGCTTCCACCTCATCAAGTCCAAATAACTGTCTAACTAATCCAATACCTGACATGAACTGGTAACCGGATGATGGGCCGTGGTTCACCATATGTTACGCGGCTCATCGTGCTAAGTGTAAGGAATACGCTGCCACCGTACCTCTGATTACTCTGCGAATCCCATGCATGGATGGTTATGTGCGAGAGGATCGCTGGACTCCTCGCCGTCGTTGGGTGGTTCACATAACCGGTTACGGCTTCCTCCACTATCAAGTCCTTGCTTCCGAAAACAAATAACTAACAAATCCCATACCCGACTTGGAATGGTAACCGGACGAGAGGCCGTGGTTCACCATATGATTAAGCCGGCTTTCCTCTCCCCCGGGATAAATATGTAAATCCTATCCTATCGGCTTTCTTCTACCCCAGGATAAAAATTTAAATACTTATTCATCTATTTTTGAACGACTTTGAAGCCTGAGGTAAGTTTATCCCCACACCAGTCTTTGAGCTACTATTAGGGCTGAGCATTTTCGAATACCTTGTGATTTCAGAATCAAATAGGATAATTTTTTCGAATCGAATCTCGAATACTTGAAAATATATAATTGTAAGCGACTTTTTTATAGTAATTGGTCCTCTCAACAAATGAATTATACTGAAGACATAGAATAAATCACTCAGATAGATTACTAATCGTTCACACAGAATAACAAACACGTTTTATCAATACCTCACTACATAAAATAGTCATATGTTAGAATTGCGTTGAAAAAATATGACTAGAATGAAAAAAAACTTGGGGAATTCACCTCGACCATTGGCGGAAAAAACAAGATGGCGGCGATTCTAAATTTAGCTCTGAACAGACTCGAATAATTTACTATTCGATTCGAAATGCCAGTCCCTAGATACTATTGAAACGATCGGAAAATCATCTTATGATAGTAAACTACAACAAAACAACCGGTTTATCATTGAACTAATATATTATTCTAAAACAGTGTAATTTACATAAATTTTTCACAACACAAATCAAACAACAACAGCAAAGAATCAAACGAAAGTATTGTTTCCTGTACAAGGCTATTATTTCTTCATCACTAATTTTATATATATTTTTTTCAATTTCACTTGTCTGAGGTTAGGATTCGTCTCACCCTTGGTTAGGTTATTGCCACATTTCCAACATTTTGTTTTAATCACATTTTGGTGGTGGCGTGCAAATTCTGGCCAAATATGGACAGAGAGATAATAGATAAAAAAATATCAGGATGGTACTAAAGATATTTGAGGCAGAGATCAACTAGTTCGATTACAAAAAAGTAATGCAAATTCCGGAGAGTATTTTTTGAAGAAACTGACGATTAAAATTACCAGGATCGTGTCCCGGAATTTTCAAAAAGGGGGGTTCTTAAATCTCTAATTGTCAAGTTAGGTCGTATCTCAGTTAGCGGGTCCTGTCATAGATCAAAAAAAGTGAAGTTTTGAGTCTTGAGGGTGTAAAAAGCGTTCAAGCTACGAAATATTGCTATGTCTGATACAGAATAATGGGTGCTCCCGAAGTATGAGAACCAAGATGGCGGACATCGGAACGTAACATGGGTAACAGGTTAGGGTTAGGTGATAATTTTTTTCCAATTTTCCTTATTTTAGTCCTATTATCAGTTCGAAGACTAGCCAAGAGCCTCCCGTAGTATTTATACCTAAAATTATGGCCTAACCCTAACCTAGCACACATGTTACATTACGATGTCCGCCATCTTGGTTCGCATACTTCGGGAGCCCCGAATAATGAATATTGGAGGGGGGGGTCCCCGACCACTCAAACCCCCCATCCGCTGGCTATGCCCCTGTAAATTTCTGTTTCTGAAATTCTTTTGATAGTCATGGATATATCAAATCTTTGGAGTAAAGTTTGCATACATTTGATTACGCTGGAAATATGACAATTTAGATTGTGGAGAATTTGAAGTTGAATTATTTCTTAACTAAGAGTACAGTATAACGAACTATTAGAATAAAGAGCAGTACTAATGCATGGCAGAGAATAGCAGTTTTCAATTAACAAAAAAGTAAACATTTTTTATATTAAACAAGGCTTGTTAGTATATGTAATACAGTACACTGTTTTTTTACGCAATACAGAGCAACTTGGCTATTCTAAGAGCGATTCTTACCAAGTCGTAGCCATTGGTAAAAAATGAGCTTCTACGGTATCTTGCTTCAAAGGCAGAAATAAGGTTTGAACCGAAGGCTTAAAAGCCATGCCCACCACATCCCTAAGATTAAATTGGGTAGGGAAAGCTGAACGAAGAAACGTTTTGGTCCTACAGAAAAATTGCATCTCTCACATATCAATGACTCCTTTTATGAAGCCTTATTTAGAGAGAAAACGATCCATAAAATAAACAAACTAAGAAAATCAGGGGAGGGGTCAAAGGTCTAATCAAGGCACAAATATATTCAGGATTGATGACGCTCCCGTAGTATTCGGACCAAGATGGCGCACAACCTGCTACATTAAACATGGTACACATACTAGGTTCAGGTTGTGCTCCATCGTAGTTCGGATACTACGAAAGCACCGGATTGATTGACGGCAGATCAATAAAGCAATGGTTGAAAATTTGCGAGGCACTTCATGATCGAGATATTTGCATGTGAATTGTTGTTTAAAAAAAACAATATTTTCCAAAAAACAGACCTCAGGGATCTCCAGGTCTTATTTTATCGGTACAAAATGACAAATTAATTATTAGGAGTTATTCTGAATTATCCAAATTATCTGAAACAAATACTAACAATATCGAATACCACAACTAATTTAACACGTTTTTCAAATGTCCGAATTATTTCGGACATCCCGGTCATAAGCAAAACCAAAATAGACAAATGGTACTTTTGGTTATAGTAAGCAAACACGGTGACCGTACATTTGAACCCATGTACATTTGAACCCATGCGTATATCCACGGGTTCAATCTATATGCGGGTGCTGAAACCCATGGGTTAGGGTCAGTATGGGTTTAACTATCCGTGAAACAAAAAAAATTCCATAGGTGCAATAGCATACAGGTGCAATTGTCATGGGTTCAAATGTAATGGAACCAGCAAACACATATAACCAAGTACATAAAATACACAAGACATAAACACAAGACATAAACAGTTCTAAAACTTAAATTTAAACCAAGGCAATAATTTTTGTTCAAAAACAAAACTAATAAAGGAGCATTTATTTGCTAATACAGCGTCTTATATGTACATTGGCAGCAATATGCGATAAGGCTTCAATATATAGAGGCATTAATGAATATAAAGTTCATGGACTGATAATAGGTCGAGGTCAAGGCCATTGAAAGTAGAGGAAATTACGCTCAAAACTCATTCAGAAGTAAAAGAGACTCATCTCTGAGCAAAGTTACGGGCACTCACTCAGAAGTAAAGGAGACTCATCTCTGAGCAAAGTTATGGGCACTCACTCAGAAGTAAATGAGACTCATCTCTGAGCAAAGTTACGGGCACTCACTCAGAAGTAAATGAGACTCGTTTCTGGGCAAAGTTATGGCCACTCACTCAGAAGTAAATGAGACTCATCTCTGAGCAAAGTTATGGGCACTCACTCAGAAGTAAATGAGACTCATCTCTGAGCACTCACTCAGGAGTAAAGGTGACTCATCTCTGAGCAAAGTTACGGGCACTCATTCAGAAGTAAAAATCTCTGGGAAAAGTTATAGGGAAATAGAGAGTTCGGGGACTGATAATAGGTAAAGGCTAATACTAATAAGGCAGATAGAATAAGCTATGCTTCATGTTTGAAAATATACTTGACAAGAATAAGATGTAGTGAATCTAACTTTGTGTAGAATGACTACGCTTAAGTGCCCTAAACAAAATCTCTAATTTTACTTGATAAGTTTCAAACAATTAACAATTTGTACAGGGGCGTAGCTAGCAATTCAAAATAGGGGGGGGGGGGGGGGAAATTCCTAATTGCTAAAGTGGGAAACATGGGTTTTCAATTGTCTTTGGGGTCTAAAAAGCGTTTCACACTACAAAAAATAGCTAAGCATGATACAGAAAAAAGCTTTTTTTTTACATTTTAAAAGTGGTGGTTCTGCAATTTACAATGGATATTCAAAAAGCTGAAGTTAAGACTTGATATAAGATCAATAGGTATGCCTAGAGTAGAAATACAAAAAAATTTTGGACGAGAATTTACTCAAAAGCATGGTCATGCTCGCTAACTCAGCAGTAAAAAAGGCTCATCACCAAATAAGGCGAGAATTCACTCAAAAGCAGGGTGCTCTCTAACTCAGGAAGAAGGCTCATCACCGAATAAAGTTTTGGGAAACACTAAAACACCAATAACTACAAAAATTTTGTGTTTGAAATACAAAAATCATGAACAGGTCTCTTTAAGACTAAAAGTCTGTTTCTCATGAGAATTCTATACTCATCTTACAAGAGGCAAGTGTTGGATTTGCAATAGATAGCCGAATATGGGGTGAAGCTCAAAAAGTTTGAGAACCACTGCTCTAAAGTATGCCTTCAGGATCCCAATTTGTTTTTTTTTCCAATTTTAGAAATTGAGTTTAAATCGAGAAAAAAGCAAAAAATGAACTGGAATTTCCATATTAGTACTTAAAACCAGGAGAGGTAAGGACAGATCAATTGCACTTGTTCTAAATTAGTATATAATAAAGTATATTTTTACGTAAATCCTTGAGTTTTTTTTTTTTTTTTTTTTTACCATTTTTGCTACATTTTTAGGTTAAATAAATGAGATAATAAAATTAAATTTTTTTTCAAAGGCTGTTAAATAAAATCTTAAATTTACAGAAAAATCTTTAAAATACATAAAATAGGCACCAAATATATATTACTACAGCCAAATTAAAATTTAAAAACTCAAAAATAATTTGATCAATCAAAGTTAAACTTTCAATTTCAAATTAATATCGTCAGCTTAGTATGTTTGGAGATGGTTTACTCGTTTCACTCGAAGTATAAATAATACCCAGAAACGTGCATAAGAAGTTAGTTACATGAAACCCCAGGTTACAGAAGATCCACATGAGACATATTATTGAGATAGAGATGCTTATGAGTACAGAATAAACAAAACTTGAAGCAGTTCAAAAAGAAACTGCCTGGAAACGAGATCAAATTTCTTAGGGAAGTAATTTTGTTGATAAAGACATTTATAGTGAATGAGCCTCTGGACTAGGGGTGTCAAAAATTCTTGTCGATGGGCCATATAACCAACTTCAGATATCCAGCTGGGCCACACAAAAAATTAAGTTTGCCTACGTACACAACACCGCGGAAAAGACAAGAAAAGAGAGCGTAGTTATCGCCTAGCCTTATAATAATAAAGGCACCAGGCAAAACAACGAAATATTTAAAGCAGTGACAAAATTGCCCTATTGAACAAATTGTCGGATAAATATCTGAAGGCAAAAATAGGAGCATAACAGTTTTATACATTTTAGCTTGTTTAAGGCCATGTTCAGAGTGCACAATAAAGAATCATTTCAGAAAGTTGGACAAAGCACTGTCACATATTGAGCTATGTATAGGCTAATTAGTATTTACAGGTTGACAAGAAACTTGAAAGAATCTGTGACAATATTGTCAGGAAAACAGCTAGATAGTAGAATATTATTTGGAAACAAAATATATGCAGCGAAGGCCCATCTAAAGCAGCAGCATGTTGACGTTCGAGACTATTCCTTCAGTGAGAAGATTCAATATGGTTTGCTTCTGTTGATTTAGCTGAAAAGAGAAAAATAAATTAGGTTGGTTTGAGAGTCTGGCCGGGGTAATAATGGAACCAATCGAATAAACAACTTACAACGAAATGGCAATGTATTTAATATGGTAAATACTTGATTGCAGGAGTAATTCAAATTTAGTTAGTTTTGAGATATTGTCATCTAAACCAGTGCTTCCCGCCCTTTTTAGTTCCTGACCCACTTTTGCCATTTCTCAGTTAGCGACCCAATTTTATTGCAATTATTTTGTGCGATCCACAATGAGATGCAATTTACTATTGATGCGACTCTAGCTTGCATATTTGATATTATCTGATTAAGTTGAGGCTTGTTAGGAGACAGCTTTCATGCGACAGCAGAACATCACATCTAAATTAGGTTAGACAAATTTATTCTCAATTGGAGCGATGAAAATCAAATTTTGACCATAAGCTGTATGAAAGTATGAGTAAGTATGAAAGCTGACGTGTGTTAGTCTGTTGAAAACACCTATTAAATATTCTTCAATTTCATTCATAAGTTTTGATTTCATTTAATACATTATATTGTCTAAACACCTTTTCTAGGAACTCTGAAATGTCGTTGCCTTTGTTCTTTTGGGGATGAAGTCGTGCCGTTCTCCATAGTTCCGTTGGTCATTTTAAGATGATTTTGGTCATTTTGAGATGGCGTGTTGGGATTCTGCAGCTTCGGTTTTAGTTGTTGATGATGTTGAATATATTGACGGGGTTTGATGGGTGAACCGGGGTGGTCCCCAGAAGATTTGGAAGGGTCTGGTGCATGGACTTGTCCATTAGTAGATGTACTATTGATTGAATGAGACTTTGTTGGTATTCTTTCGTTTGGGGTTTTCGAACGATTCCGATTGTATTGTCTTGGTTTGTTACGGTACTGGTTTTGAGGTCGTGAACCCTGTGATCGCTGATGTGGAATGCTGCCAGAATCAGCCTGCTGATTTGAATCTTTGCTCGCAGGCTGTGATCGGTTGATCGGTGTATCAGCTGATCGCATTTCTGGCTTTGCTGAATTCGATTTACTGGTGTGCGGCTTAATTACCCCAGCCTGTGTTTGCTGATGTGAATCCTTGCTTACAGGCTGTGACCGGCCATGCATATCCTCCCTTTCACTTTTAAATGAACTTTCAACTGAACCCATTTTTGACTTGGTTGTATATGGCTTATCATTAGGCTTGCTTTGAACAGGCTGTGTTTGCTGAAGTGAATCTTTGCTTACAGGCTGTGATCGGTCATGCATATTATTCTTCTGTCGCTTGTAACTCCCAGAAGAATTATGCCTGGGTGTGTCTACTGATGTCCGTTGTTTATTATTGTTGGATGAGACTTTTGTCGGCTGTGATCGGTCACCCATATCATTCCGGTCTTGTTTCGAATTTCCATGTGAACTCGGCTTTGTAGAGTTTGTCGTATTTGGAAATGGCTTTTCGATGTCATTTGGAGACCCTCGTTCACTATTTTTTGACGTCTCATTAATGTGTTTCGATGTCCCTTGCCCCCTATTTTTTAGTGAAGTGCTTTTTGATGAAGGCCCATTTTGTACTGGAATATGATCTCCCTTATTTGTACTTCTTGGATCCTTAGATCTCACTTCCTTCCTTCGGTTCGTTTTACTGTTCTCGGAAGCGGTTTTCATATCCATAGGAGCGGCTTTTCTAGTAGTTTCTCCAACTTCAGTGGGAGCTTCTTTGGGTGTACCATTAGCCCCATCTTGTGGTTCATTTTTCTTGAAATTTTGATTTCTTTTTTTGCTCGGTGATCGATAACGAAAAACTTTTTTGAAAGGTCTTTCATTTAGACCTTCTTTAGCATTTTGGGATTCACGTTTATCAGTTGTATGTTCATTAGACAGTTTTACAGAATTTTTAGGCCCGTTTTTCATTGAAAAATTCGATGTTTTTTCAGTTTTTGAAGAAATTTGGGTTTTTTTGGTCTTGACAGTATGGGAGTTCCCAGTATGGACAGTGGGAGGAGAAGATTGCACATTTAAAGTTTGTGGCTTTGCATTACCGGTCCCTGATATAACGGTCTGATTTTTAGGAGTTGAAGATGCTTTTTGATTGGTTGAAGTGTCATGCTTCATTGGAGATGGCTTCTTATTATTCGTCTGCGATTGGCTCGATTGAGTTGCTGCAGCTTTTACGGTTGATTGCACATTATTTGTGATTGTAGTTTTGGCAGAATCGGAGTGAGGAGTCATATATCCACTAGGGGGCAGTGGCACTTTGAAATCGGGGGTTACAGTCGATGCAGATATGGAATCTGAAGAAGGCATAGGAGAACTTGATTGGACGGTTTGAACTGGATTCTTTTTCTTACGATTACGACGTTTTTTATTTGTAATATTCGTTGATTGGGTGACTTGATTACTTTGAGTAAAACCAGGAAAGTTGACATTGGCGGCTTGAGATGTTTGCGGAGATGAAATTGAGTGATTTGTTGATTCCGAGCCAGATGCAAATCCATCATCTTCAGAGATTTTTTCTTGATTATTTGAGGATGTTAAACCTTTTTTATTTTTACGTTTCGGGTAAAAAGTCGCTGAAATCCAGTAGAAATGAAAATATTCAGACTGAGTTGTGGTTTGGCTCGGAGAAACTTTTAAAATGTCCAAAAACACTTGAGTACGATATTCTGCCTCAAAATTTGGGTCCTTAAGTTCATTTTTTGTGAGTTTTATTTGAAAATGGACATTAACGAACGCTTTACAAATCTCAGTCCATCTCATGAAAACATCTCGTTCATCTGGACTGTATTTTTGAGTCGGTTTTATACGAAATTGAAGATCTGAGCCAAATCTGAAAGAAAAAGGAAAACCTGTTTAATTATAAACACTTGCACAGGGATGAACGAAACTAAATAATGTAATACTGCATGATTGCCACCAGGTATGTTCATGTTGGAGATAAATAAAGCACAACTGGTGTTGGCAATACAATGTGGTTTGCAGAATTTTCAAATTTCTAGATGATATGGAAAGCATATATATGATAGTATGCTCTCCATAGTTTATATGCATGTTACGAGGAAAACGAGGAAATCCATGCGGTGTAGATATGTTCTTTTAAACGCAACGATGGGTTCTCCTCTTCCCGAAGGTAAACGCAAAATCGCTTTTTTTCACATTCAAAAAGGGGGGTTCCTGCCTGGTGAGGCATATAATTCAATATATTCATATATATATTCAATTTGTCGAATATTTGAGTTCGAAGTTTGAATATTTAATTATATAGCTATTTATGTTAGGTAAATAACTTTTGATTTCAACTTTGATATGGTAGCAGATTGACAATATATACTGAATTTTACTGCATAAAATTTAACATTAATCGCAATTTTACCAAAAAAGGGAAAATTTTGGTAGCGGCTGTAGCGATTTTGATAAGATGGAAACGTTTATAGTCACATAATTCGCCATTGTCATTCTATATAACACATGGGTTGTTTGCTTAGCACAAGCTAGCTATTAAGGCATTGTGACGTCATAGGCATAGATAATAAATTGGACTCAGGTATTGGCTTTGCAAAGGGATCGGAATTACTAGCACATACCAAATTTAAAACTAGTTTAGCGGGCCGCGCATCATTCAAAATTGGCACTTCTCCACGGACTGCACAATTTTTACTTGAGGGCTGCCTTTGACCTGCGGGCCGCAGGTTGCACACCCCTGGTATATAGTTTCAGTTCTTGCCATTCCAGCAATCACTAAAATTTTTTTTAACGGATTACGATGAGTATCATACACCAGATCTACTCAACTGGCGGACCGCGGTCCGAAACCGCCAGACCTTTCGGGTATTCGATTCGGAATGCACCTTATTCTTTATTTTGGATCATTTGCCCCACTTTTGAAGTTTCCTTTTATACAATCAATTTTATAGATTTAAATATATATGGAAAAAACTATGACGCCATAATAAACAATCTGGATTAGCTTATAATCATTAGTCGATTGAGGAAGTGCGTGTTCAAGGATGCGGAAAATATAATTTTTGGAAAGACCAGACCCAAATATTTTTGAAGTTTTGAATGCGGATCTTCGGAAAAAATAGTTGAGTAGCCCTGCAATATACTTCTGATTAAGTTCACCTGACCTTGCGATGGGAATATTATTTTATGATGAGATGATATCAATAGCGGAGGATGTCCATGAAATCTTGAAATTTTGTTCAATTAAAAAGGGATTTCATCGATACTATAAATTGTTTTGGCCCTCACAGATATATTTAATTGTAGTTGAAATACTTTAATTACTCACTTAACACAACAAACCTGGTTAAGACATATTGATAACTGACTTCATATAACAAAATTGAAACTGCGAAGGGACTTTATGAACAACCTGTATTATCTACTTTTAGTTGAAGGTCAGAGATTACTCACAGCACACTGCAATTCCTTGGTTCCATTTTCAGTAAAAACTTTTGCATGTTGTTCTGGACTTTGTATTCAGTTTCGATGCTTTTATCGAAGACACAGAGATGAATGAAATGATAGTCTGGATTCTGAACTTTCGGTTTAGCGATGTACGCAGCCACACGTAGCCCTCTAGTGATTGCTCCATTCTGCCCTCTAGTTAGCACGACTCGGTAGCTGTAATTGAAGTACATAAAGTGTCAAAAGAAAGTCAAATATATATAGAGTAAAAATTAACATTGAAATGTAAGTCTAAGCTGATATATTAAAAAAAAACTACAAGGCTGATCAGTTTAAGAGTTGCGCAATTGCGCTGCGAAAATATGTAGTTTAGTAATTCCACTTCATGTGGTCATCTGCCCCAGGGTAAGATAGGATTTACTTTTTTATCCCGGGGGAAAGGAAAGCCGCTAAGACGGCTTAATCATATGGTGAACCCAGGCCTTCCGTCCGGTTACCAGTCCTCGAGTATGGGATTAGTTAGTTATTTGTTCCAGATGCATGGATTTAATGGTGGAGGAAGCCGTAACAGACCAGCTGTCATATGGTCCACCCTACGACGGCGAGGATTCCAGCAATCCTCTCGCACATAATTATCTCCCACAGGATTCGAACCTGTAAACCCACGCAGGGTAATCAGAGGTGCGATGGCGTATTCCTAACGCTTAGCACGATGTGACACACTGCCGAGCCGAGGTAATATCTTTCGTTTTTTAAATGCTTAAAATGTTGCATCATGAAGGGTTGATGCAATGGAACTTGGGATATGGACCTGCCATTAAATGCTTATTGTGCGTAGTTATGAGTTTTGTATTGTGCTGCAGTTTTGTATTGTGCTGTGCTGCACATGTACCGTATTACTATGTAGCAGTCCTCAACTGTTGGTATTTTGTAGGCGTTCCAGAAGTGTGTGTACCAATATGGAGGTAACTAATTTTGTTTGCATACTTTACATCAAGTTGTGTAAAGAGACTGAAACCTATGGCAGGGGGTATATTCACTTGGCTAACACAGACAGTCCCGACCTCGTAATAGGACTAAAATAAGGAAAATCAGAAATTATTGCCTAACCCAAACCTGGTACACACACTACTAGAGTACCGATTTGTGAAGGGTGCATGTCGCACATTCATTCCAGTAATGTTTTCAACATGCACTCCACTTGTGTTGTAACATTTACTTATTGTGAAGAGGAATTTAAATTTTGAACAAACATAGTTACATCATAGTGGCGCAATAACAACATATTTATTCAAGTGCCAACACATCAAGCTGATTATAGTCAAGTACTTCCAAGTGTAATCCCACTGTCTGGCAAACAGGACATAACAAAATTTAATATGTAAATAAATTTTTTTTTCAGGAGAATTCGCTCAGAGCAAGTTCACATGAGGTAACCTACAAATACCACTGAAATTATGATATATTTGATTATTTTTTTTTATTGTCAGAAATTGAATGAAGTCTGAAAGAGCATAAGATATCAAATGCTTTTTATTTTTAAAATCAAGATTTTTGAATATAAATATAACCAATTTCAGTGCCACTTCAGTATGCGTTTAATGTCATGAGGACAGAATTCGGTTCCTAATCATAACCGAAATCACTGAGGTCGCGTACCAGAGTCGCCACTGTAACTACACTCTGAAAAGAGTATAATTTTATTCCAAGTTTTCTTATTTCATATTTGGGGCGCTCCAGAGTGTGTACCAATATGGAGGTAACTAATTTTGTTCGCCTACTTTTCATCAAGTTGTATAAAGGGACTGAAACCTATGGGTAGGGGGTATATTGACTTGGCAAACACATACAGTCCATGAACTCGTAGTCGTAATAGAACTAAAATAAGGAAAATTGGAATAAAATTATGGCCTAACCCTAACCTGGTACACACACTATAGGAGTACCCATTTTTGACCTTTTTGCATCTTAGCAATCACAAATAATATAATTTGGATTTTAAATGGTTCATTACGTTCATAGCTTGAAGTTTAAACCAACATTCTGACGAGGCAATCGACCATTTCCACCTGCAATTTCATCGTCAAGTACTTCCTGGTTTTTGACCGACTTCCTGGTTGATACCAAGCAAGGTCTAATGGTCAGTTCAACAAAACGACAAGAGGGTACTATTTCCAGTTCTCCCGCAGTATGTGCAACAAGATGGTGGACATCAGAACGTGGTACGTGTACCAGGTTAGGGTTAGGCCATAATTTTAGGTACAAATACTACGGGAGTCACTTTGCTAGTCCCCGAACTTGTAATAGAACTAAAATAAGAAAACTTGGAATAAAATTATAGCCTAACCCTAACTTGACACACATACTATGTTCAGATGTCTGCCATCTTGTTGCACATACTACGGGAGCGCCTTATTTTCACTATAGAATGAATTAATAATACGACTTATTGGCTTTCTTCTTCCTCAATATGAAATTTGAATTGAAAAAACATTAATATGATGTATTGTAAAACAAAGCAAAAGCTTTCAAAACAAAGCATATGAGGTAATATTGCTTCAAATAACTGGATGTCCAACACGAAAATTAAATATCCAAATACATTCTATAGCTAACTATTAATTTTGAAAATATTTGGGTATATTTACATACCAAAAGTCTATGAATAAATGATGACTAATATATGGACCATGGTGACTGTTGAACGGACCCAAACTTAAAATATATTCCATATTTGAAAATGTTATTTAAGAATGCATTGAGAATAATGGATCTCAACTCCAGCAAATACATTACAAGTAGGGCTGGGCATTTCGAATCGAATAGTAAATAATTCGAACTGGTTCAAAGCAAAATTTCGAATCGCCGCCATCTT